ATATATATATATATATATATATATATATATATATATATATGTATGTATGTATGTATGTATGTATGTATAGACACACACATACACACATATGAAGACCTATGATGTTCAGTTTTTCTAAGTAAATTTCTACATTTAGCTTCTTTGCAAATTAAATGTTTGGGACTCATTAATGAACTGTAATGATTATGGAATCCTTTTCGGTGATTATCTGTATCTGTTTATTCAATGGATAATTTGGAAATTATTCAGCATCTTTTTTAGCAAATTAAATAGAATGTTGTGGGCCCATTAGCAAGAAGAGTCATATTTCCATATTAAAATGTGCCCTCGAGTGATAACTGCTGGTAACCTGCATTTTACTGTTTCATTTACTTTTGATATTCTGATTGTTGAACCAGCCCATTACAAGCAATCTTTTGTCTACTGTTTGTCATAGATACTTTTTGACCAGTTTTGGTGGCATTCTGTTTTGTTCATTTCAAAGAAAAAAATATACCGAGGAAACATGTGAAGGTATTTAAGGACAATAAAAAAAATATTATTATTATTATTAATTTTACCAATCTCTATTTTAATGTTAGATTTTTAAAATAGGCTCAATTTTTATAAATGAACGATAATTTAAATGGAAATTCAGCCATGATTTCAATCCTTTAATTATTTTTCTACACATTTGATCATTAATAATTATTTGGTAACAATAATTTCTTTTTTAATTGCTTATTGTAGTATTTAAACAGATGTTTAGTACTTTATGAATAAGTTTGCTTTTTTTTATTTTTAATGTTTATTACTTAAATTCGTATCCATTTAAACTGATATTTAAATGATAAGTGACATTTAAATGATACTTTTTAAGTTGATGCGTTTTAAGAGAAAAGAATGGGAGAATGGGCGCCGAAAAGTATAGAAAAAGTTGTGTAGTTGTTTAGATGAACTACTTTTAAAATTATTATTTAGAAAGCTATTTTGCCTGATACCCAATGTATTAAGGCGATCTGATTGCTTGAATTGAGCACTCTTTTCTTGGAATATCCTTTAAAGATGATCCTATGTTAACATTAAGTAGAAAATGTGTGCATTTAGTGCGCTTTGAGCTTAGTCTAATTATATATTCAAATAAGAATTTATTGATTTTGTTTATGTTTGTGTTGTGACTCAACAACACATTTTGGTTGAGTTGTCTTATTAATTTTTTTTTTTTAATGTGGAAGTAGTTTAATTATTAAAGCTTTTTAATCATGATATTTTAAAAAGGTCAGACTAATAAAAATCAATTATCTTTACGAAACATAACTACAAGCATAAATACTCATGCGCTAAATAACTGATCACATTTTGAAAATATAAACTCATTGGTAGCAAGATAGAAATAAACATCACGTAATTTTTTTAATAAAAATAATCATATCAATCCACATTTTTTTTTAGTGTGATATCCCTTCTCCTGATCCCTCTATGTCCTCTATAGCTTTACATGAAAGCATCCCTTGTTGCTGAAATTTGGTAAGGGAGGAAATGATATTGTAAAGATTTGAAGGAAGATGTATGCTTGCTTTAGTTACCAACAGTACTCTTTATCTTTCACCTTCAGCATCAATTTTGGCTGAAATTTTTGTCAAATTCTAACTTAGAGTCAAGGGGCTAGGTTGGACACATTAGTCAGTTTGAGAGACTAAAATGGTCCCCCATAAATTGTCCAAAGGCTATTCTTTTTCTCTTAAATTTATGAAGTTTTTTATTTTATGCGTTGAAAAAATTTATGCTTAATGTGTTTGTAATGATGATTTTTACTCCTATGTATTCCACATTTAGATTCAATGATGATGGTTGTTATGAGAAGATTTTACTGTTTATATGCAGCTTCAACCAGTGTTATTAAATATTGTCTGTAATGAGTAGGCTTCCTATTCGATACTACATAGAATTTCTGTGATGTTTATGCATCGTGATTTTTTGGGCAAACTTTTGCTCATCCCTCTGATTTGCTGACTTGTCAGTTTGTACTCTCTTGCTGTTTCTGTGGGATACTGAAAAGCTTGGAAGGCTATTTCATTTGTTGGCATATTTTATGTTTATATTATTTTACTGTCTTTTCTCGACTGTCATTTAATTTCCAGTTATCCTGATCCTTGTGTAATAAAATGACAGAATCGCCAAAGAGTAGCACAACTTCCTGGTGCTAAAACTGCTACATCAAATGTGCTACCACCTCGATCAGCTGGTAGAGGTAGAGGTCGCGGTGATGCTAGGACTTTTGCAAAAGATAACAATTTAGAATCCCAAATCAAAGAACAGGATCTTAGCACAGCTGAGATTTTTAAAGCCTTCTCCGCCCGTTTTGTTCGACTCCATGGAATTCTATTCACACGGACTAGGTATAGTAAGAGTACTTTACATTGAATCCTTTTATTTCGAACTAGTTGCGCTTTAATTATAACTCTCGTCTGCCTTTGATATAACAGCTTGGAAACTTTTGGAGATGTTTTTTCATCAGTGATAAGTGATTTGCATGAACTGCTAGCTGATGGGATCGAGGAAGCATTTAATTTCGGTGTTGATGCTGCGGAAAGTGGGCTGGTTATTGTGAGGCTTGTGTCCATACTTATATTCACGGTGCATAATGTGAATAGGGATGCTGGAGACCAATCATATGCTGAGATCTTGCAGCGATCAGTGTTGCTTCAAAATGCTTTCACAGCTTCATTCCAGTTTGTGGGACATATGCTCAAGAGATGCGTTGAATTACATGATGTTTCTTCTAGCTTTCTTCTACCTGGTATTATGGTTTTCATGGAGTGGCTAGCATGCCATCCAGATATTGCGGCAGGATTTGATGTTAAAGAAAAACAAGCTACTGCTAGAACATTTTTCTGGGATCAGTGTGTAGTATTCATGAATGCACTTTTATCAAGTGGCCATGGTTATGTTGATACATACGAAGACGATACTTGTTTTTCTGAAATGAGCCGCTATGATGAAGGGGAAACTGGAAATAGGCTTGCCTTGTGGGAGGATTTTGAGTTGAGAGGATTTCTTCCTTTAGTGCAAGCACATCTCATTTTGGACTTTTCAAGGAAACAATCTATTGGTGGTGATGGAACTATCAAGGAAAGAAGGGCTCGGGTGCAAAGGATTTTTGCTGCTGGAAGTGTTCTGATGAATGTGGTTAGAATTGATCAGCGGGTTGTATATTTTGATCGGCTTCTCAAAAAGTTTGTCTTTGGTGTTGAGCCTCCTGCATTTGTGGATGATGTGTATGCCGGTATTGTGGATGCTCCTTATCCAAATGCTTCAAGGCATGCTAGTTCGGTTGAAAGCGTAAGCAATTTGGGAGGGTCACAATCAAGCATGATGGATCTTGGATTAGCTCCGGTAAATGCCCTTCTTCATGCAGATGGAGAAGATGATGAAGAAGAAATTGTTTTCAAGCCAACTGCAATCGAAAAACTTTCCAGCATTGTTGCCTCTATGCCAGCTTATGAAACTGTTCAGCCTGCACACGTCTCTGTAGGTGATTGGGATAGTACTGCCATGCAACACTCCTTTCTTAACAATGATACTCAGTTGTCAAATGATCTGAATCCCTCCAGTAAACTGAGAACCTCTATACCCGCAATATCTCCCCAGCCTTCTCTGGACTTGGATATCAATACATCAAAATGGCTCCTGGAGAAAGAGGCCATGTTATCCGAAGGATTGAAGAATATGAATTTTGGGAATGGCTTGATGTTCCAGGGGGGGTTGAACACTTTTAAGCCTAGTGTCTGCACCAGTAGTTTGTTCTCTAATCAAGTAAATGTTACAGATACCATTATACCATCTCCTCTTGATTCTATAGTGCCGCCTGGTGCAATGACTACTGACTTACATGCGAGGACCTCAGCAGCCTTGCCAGCACCAACTGTGTCTAAGAAAAATCCTGTGAGTCGTCCAGTTCGGCATTTTGGTCCTCCTCCTGGATTTAACCATGCATCCTCTAAGCCGCAGCCTGGCACCATTCATAATTTGGCTACAAATGATCAGCAGCTCCCTATTGATGACTATAGTTGGCTTGATGATTATCAGCCATCTACTAAAGGATTGATGGAAACCTCTGTTAGCCATGCCTCAGTTATGCATCCTTATCCTTCTGGTGACAATAGTAGTACGTTTGGTGGTGTCACAAGCTTCCCATTTCCAGGAAAACAAACCCCTCCGTTACAAAACGATGTTACTAATGAGAAATTCTGGCAGGATTTCCAGCTTTTTGAACATCTGAAGCCATTCGCTGAACAGCACCTCCCTCATACAAACTTGCGACCTGCTATGCTGTCAAAGCAGCATCAAACACAATCCATGTGGTCTGGCGGTTACTTGGTGTGAGACCATTCATGGGATGGTAACAACAGGTAATGTTTGCTCTTTGATTTTCTAAGAACATTTTTTTCTCTGAGATTAGACATTTGTGAGTCTTATTCTGTTGGTTTTAAGAGGCTGGGCAGAGCAACAAACCTGCATGTGGGTGACTAAAGGAATGGGCCTTTTCTCCGATGCTGTCATTTTAATGTTCTTGAAGGTTCTGTTGGAGCATGAATGATCTTTGGAGCTTAGCTGGTGCTTGCCCTGTAGCTGGTATGATTTTTATAGCCAAAGGAATGATTTCCAGTTTTTTTACTGGTTTAATTATAAAATAAAATTTTTAAATTGCAGAAGACTGACAATTTTCTTTTCTTGTTAAACTTAAATATTCAACCCTCAGTTTTGTTAGTTGTGCTTTATAACGTTCAATTAAATTTAATTTACTCCTGTCAGTGGTTTTGTTTCTCATATAATCCGTTCACTTGTTTTGAAATTTTATATTTCATTTTTTTTTTCTTTTTTTTATTCTAGTAATTAGAAAGATATAAGTTGGCACTTAGAATGCACTAATTACTACCTTTTTATCGGACAGGTAACATAGAATATTAGTGTTCAAATCATTTCTTGGATTTGACTTGGAAGGGATCTAATTTATGGATGTTTGAATTTTTTAATAATGGCAATTACAAACAAAGCATGCAAAATATTGTTATTTACAGATCTAGCATCCTATTTCATCCATTTTTCAAATTCTCGCTCAACCCTATTTTTCATTTTTATCAAAATCTCAATGATTTGATCGTGGCAATAAAATCACCTCGGTGCTAGTTTCGTAACTAGCAATCTTTTGACTGTCATGCATGTGAGATGGGAGCCCGGATCTTCAGAAAATAATGTTGTATTGGTGAGTGCCGTTCAGTCGGTGTGGGTTACTTAATAAAGCAACTAGTCCCTCCTACTTAAGTTGTTGCGTAGTTCCTTCTCCATTGGGGTCTCGCTGCCACTCATATACATAATCAGTTTTTCTTCATAACTTTGTAAGCATTTATTGTTTCTTTTTAATCAACTAATATAACTGAAATAACATTTTACACAGGTTGTGTTCCATGATTGATGCAGGGATGAGTTAGGAATGCCTGATGGCAAGAATACAACAGGCGACCCCCATAATATCCGTATTTGTTCTGTTGGTCTGAGATACCTGTTAGGGCACATCTTACTGGTAGTCTTGGTATTTGTTGGGTTGATCCGAGTTTGTCAAATTTGTCAGCAGCTTCCATCTTTTATGTCTTACTAAAAGGTGCAGATTGCATGTCTCATTTTACTGTTGAAGGATATGGTCGTCGCTTATCTACCTTCGTGGCAGAGTTCGGATTGGCTGTTTGTTATGTGAGAGTTTTGTAAGCCGCTACTGAAGCATTTCTGGGGTAATTATCAATCAACTGGACTTCTTCTGGAAGGTCAACTAGCAGTAAAAGGACATAGAAGTCCATGTCCGTTTTTGTGTGGCGTCTTATCTTTTTAAAATGGTGTGTTTTGCAATATTGGACCTTACTTTCATATCGTTGAACTTTTAGTCTACTATTTCTAGTTTATGTTTGAAGTTTGCTTATAAGTTGTACTGGATACCATCATATTTCCTTTTTAGCCTGTTTAATGTATGTGTTTGCTTCTAGTTGAATTATGATCTGTTTAATGTTTCGTTTTTGCATTATTTGAATCCTTTTGGTTATTTGGGCTGGCACTGGACTTTTAAGAGCATGAAGTGGAAAAGATTCTATAGGTTTTTATTTTCTTTTTGGTTAATGTGGTAATGCATTCACATTTAGTGAGCATCCATCTTAGCTGAGGTCGAGTCTAGCTTATCAAGCAGCAACATCTATGAAACTTGGCTATTTGGCTCTCGAGTTTGCTTGACTAATGTGATTCCGGTCATGTCGATACCTTCTCCGGTGAACTTCTGTAGCATTTATCCTTGTCTTCTGCCATCAATCACTTTGGTGGCTTTTCTGATGAGCTCCCATGACGATTTCATTCGAACACATGAGCATGTTAGCATGGTGAGCTGATGCCGAGCTCATATTTTAAAGGAGCTGAGCTGAGTTAGGTATGACTCGAGTTCTGCTCGCCTCTTTCACATCCCCGAATTGTTATACAAATTTGACTTTCTCTATACCATTATGTGCATATTCATTGTATGATATATATATATATATATATATATATATATATATATTATATATATATATATGGTTTTATTAATGATTCTTAACTTTCCTTGTGTATTGAATATTGATATTCCATTTCTATATTTTTGGCTTATGCTTGTACCGTATATTATTAAGACAGCTGGAGTTCTACACTGGTGGCCGGTTTAAAGATAATATGATAAAATTTAATGAAATTAAAAAAAAGAGTAAAACCTAGTATGGGATAGTGATGCCCGAAATTTTTATCTTTTTAAGTTTGGTACAGTTGTAGTTTCTCAGTTTTTTAGTTGCAGCTGCGTGTCTCAAAAAAGCTGCTGTTGGGAAGCAGCTGCGAGGAAGCTGCTTCCCAGCTATCTATTTGGTATAATTGTGTGAAAACTGTTGTATAGTAATTGTTTCTGAAAAAATGACTATGTTGCCCTTATTTTGCAAAATTATTTAAGATAAGATTGTAATAGCGACATTTTTGGAACTTCATAAGTAAAAAATTCATTTCTAAACATAACAAAAGTTTGGATACACCACTCAATAGTGAGCTCGGAAAGTGCTAAAACAAATTTTGAAATAATTATACGGATGCAAAACATTCTTATGTATTTACATACGTAACATGTAAACTTTAATTTTTAGGAAAATTTACATAATATTTTGGAGGTCATAGAAAAGAGTTGGGTGGCATAAATATAGTATAGTTAATTTAAGTGTTAGGTATGTAAATATATGAAATTAATTATTGTTATGAAATAAATTTAAGCGTTAGATATGTATATATATGGAATTGATTAATATGTGTTAAAAATTTAAGTATTTTATAAGCGAAAGGAATGTATTGAATTGGGTAGCATAAATTTATTAAATATATTTTTTCGTTCATGTTCTCAAATTATTTATATATTCTCTCTCAAGGAATTTACACATTATTTAAATACTTATTAATGAACTAATTAATTTAAATATTATTTAAATACACGAATTAAGTGGTATGCATGTATTCCCCCCATTTTAATTTTATTTCAGTTCCTTTAGAAGAATATGACAAACACAATTTTATCCAACAAAGGAGTTTTATTTGCAGCGTTGCACTAAAATAACCACCCTTAAACTCATGAGTTCTCTTTGGAGGGTGAAGCATTGCTCATGTATTCAAACAGAGAAATGAATTCAGGTCTCAATCATCATCCATTGGCATCAATATGAAGAACATACAACAGCTGTATGATACAAAAAAAACAAAGCAAAACAAAACAGACCTCAACTTCCCCTAAACTGCAAGAAATTTTAGGCTTCAAGTGCACAATAGGTTGCTCAAATATATAGAGAAGTGACCACGGAATTGGACAATCAAAAGCTCAAATTCATCTTAATTTCATCCAATAGAACATCCAAGAACAGGTTCGCTACATCAGAGAGGTGGATCTCCGAAGGAAGCACTTAAATTCATTCTTTCAGATTCATGGAAGATGATTTACATCAACATGATATTAAAGTGAAGATAAATTACAGTAGATTACCTGCATCCAAAAGCAACCAATGGTCATTCGAATAAGCAGGAGCAGAACTTGATAACCAGGAACCAACAAAATTGTTCTTTTATCTAAAACATTCAATAATAGACCAAAAAAGGATGCGTTCTCAAAGCAAATAATCAATCTGAAAGCAAATAGGCCAACATTCTTTCAGAATTTAGCAATTTTTTTCAAATGCAATGGCAAGAAAGTTCATGTTCTACAGATTGAAATGCTTCACTCGCAATCTTTCAAGTTACAATTCCATAAGAATATTTCTGAAGATAAAACCATAAACGTGAAGGGCACAACTTCCACTAAAGTTCCTGATTACATGGTACAGAATTATTCACACAACACAAAATCAACAATTTTTGCCCAAGCTTACGAAGAACATGAAAGAAATATTAATCCCAGCTGCAGCAACACCATTCATGGAAATTATCATAATTGTCATTCAACGCAGTTAATTTCAAGAAACAAAAAAAGGGAGGATAGAAAATAGAGAGTTGAATGCTAAGGTTCACCTTCGATCGATCCATCCCGTCTAGTAGATGATACGCCCTTTTTTCAGTCACCATGACACAACTGCGGAGGCCGCCTGCATATCAATGGGCCATCCAAGATACCCCAACAGATTACAATATAAAAACGAAGCATTAATATCCTTGAACGACTATCAGATCCAATCAAATAAGATCATCGATCATGGAGATTGAGAATGATCGAATCAAATGAAACAGTGAGTTCAACTCAAGTAGGTTCTAATAAAACAATGTTACTCCTCTGCATAAAACCTGAACTTTTGGCCAAAGCAATCTTTGCAATCGCATTCACCAACCATTTCACCCCGCACAAAGAAGATAGTGTTGTGAGGTTGTTAATTCATGCCTCCATTATCAAGCAGCATTTCAATACACATCATTCAAACCGAGAAAAATAAAGGGAACCAAGACAAGCTAATTTTTGTTTTACAAAACAGTAAAAGGAAGCATTTTAAAAAGCTAGACTTTTAAACGGTGGGCTCAACTCAAGTAGGTTCTAATAAAACAATGTTACTCTTCTAATCATATAAAATTTATTAGGATCCATCTTTGTAAATTTGTTCCACAACTTGGAGCAATAGGTCCTTTTTTTTTTTGAGGCAATCCACGTAAATGTTAAGAACGATAGACAGATTTCTCTGTTAGAATAATCCATAATTTTATTTTCTTACCCTATAAATTTACAATATTAAAATAAAAAAATAAATGAACCAAGCCAACTCTTTAATCAGATCAAACTAGACTCAATGAGTGGCTCGTGAACTGAGCTCAATGAGCTATCAAGCCAAGCTCAGGCCAACCCCGACTCAACTCATTAGTTCATGAGTGGCTAGTTTAAACAGTAATTAATAATATAATGCACTTAAAATATATTAAAACTCCAAAAAAAAACTTCAAATTATTAAAAATATTAGAAAAAGAGAATTTATATTTTATAGCAAATTATTTCTTATTAACTCACTTAAAGGCTCATTCTATTTATCATTCATTATAACACCAACTAAAATTAATATTTATTCTCTTCCACAATAAACAAGCAAGCTCATGAGCTGGCTCAAATTCATAGAGTTAAGCTTGAGCTTAATCTCAAACTCGATTAATTAATCAAACTCAAGCTCAAACTCAAGTCCGACTCATTTACACCCCAAGTCCAAATGACCTGCATAATTTAAACTCAGAAAAATCATAATACTTGATTCAGCCGTTACTAATCTTATTTATGATGCTACAGTACCAAATCGCAGAACCCTATAACTTCCAGTTATAAAAATGCATCTTAACAACTGAAAACAATAACTGCTTTCAGACATTTTAAACTCGACTTCATTGAACACTGCCAAACCAATTTTCTTCAACACTGCACAGAAATTTTAAGATAGAGCGACCTCAGCACAAAAAAGTGAATGTTGGAGAAATTTGCATGGCACTAATTAGCATTTTGGAGCAGCAGTAGTTATGCATCAAAATGGAATAAAAACAGAGACTAAAAACGAATTCCAGCAATTACAACAGCCTCCAAAATACCACTTTAGTTGTCATCTCACTTCCTGGTTTTCTTCCTCTGCCGTGTGCTAATTTCGTCTGATTCTGATCTCTTCGACGACTCCACCTCTGTCTTTGCCTTAACCACCTTTCGCTGCAACTTGTTGGTTTTCAACGGCTTCTTGCCACTTTTTTTCTTTGGTTTTTCCTCTTCATCATCTTCCTCAGTGTTATCAACTGAATCACCTGCTTTCTTCTGTTGCCTATGGCTATCAACCTTTACATTTTTGTCTTTTTTAGGCTGAGTATTTTTAATTTCCTTCTCTTTTTCGAGCTCTTCTCCTTCACTGCCTTCATCTTCATCTTCTTCATCTGACTTTGAGTTCCGAGATGGGTTGGATTTGGCTTTCACAGATTTGGCACCTGTGAGCTTCTGTAATTCTGGGACGTAGGCTGAAGTCTGATGATTAATAAGCAGAAAATAGACATATATGAGAAATTAGATATGACGACAATTGGGTAGAGTGCTTTACAAATCATCCAATTTAATTATATTTTATGGTTACGTAACCAATACTTAGAAAAAAAAAACATTATTAATTTAATCATTTCTGATGAAAAATATCAAAAAATGATGATGGTAGAACATGCCCCACTTCAATATCTATGTGGAGTCAAAAAATAACATGGCCAACAAACTAACATAACTATCATAATGTTTCAGCAGTCAGCAGGACATATCTCCTGACTTATAAAATATGAAAATTTTGTTAGTTTAGTGATTATGGTATCCTTTGATTTATTAAAGGCATTAACATGGCATTTTTTACCAAAACCTATTGATATTTTTCATTAGAATGTTTAATACTATCAAAATTTAAAATATATTGATTTTTTATTATGTTATAAACTTTGAATAATTTTAGAGAACTTTACTAGCAATAATGAAAATGACTTACTCTACCACCAACTGCAATGAACTCGATTCGTTTTCCTGCCACAAAATAAGAGGAAGATGGCACTCAGATGTAGAGTGCAAATTCGATGGCAATAAATACAATGCAGGGGGTTCACCTAAATTTGAAGTATAAAAATATGAAAAAACTAACATCAATCAGTATAAGTGATGCGTTTCTCATCAATCAGCACTCATCTCACCATGTTCATGCAAATTCAATTTTCCATAGATGTCTAATGTTTTTATCAAACATCGGAACAACAAATAAAACCAAACTGTATTACGATCATACAACAGGAGCATGAGTTTCAAACACGCGGATTCGTGAGATCGTTCGCTGGCCCCTGATGTGACAGCTAATCATACATCACTCAGTCATGAACAGTAAATGCATATATATCATGAGTGGTAGCTAGCTGAGTTGATAAAGATCTTAAAGATAGCAAATTAGTGCTTCGGTATTTAGCAATCCTATAGAAGCAGGGCCTAAAAACCAAACCAGGGGTTTAACAACCAAACCAACAAGCCGGTCTAACCGATCCAACACTGAACCTGCTCCCAAACTATAATATGCATTAATTGGCTTAAACCAAACAACTGAATTGAACCTAGCATATTTGATTGATTTCGTTTAATTGATAAAGATCACCGATAAGTTTTTTGTTCCAATTAAGAGTTATTTGAATTTCAATAATTACTTTGGTTTTAAAAAAAATTCGGTTAAACCAAAAAATGAATTATATTACAATTAAACTAAATACATTAACCAATTGCTTTAATAAATCCATATACAGATCAATCTAATATGACTAAATGCACACATCAGTTAAATAAAAAATCAAACCGAATAAATCAAATTAAATTTCAGGTTCGGTTTGGGTTGTTTCTATATCTTATTTAGTTAGACAATTGACTGTTAATTTTTAGGATTCTTGATTTAATAAAATTTTCAACCGATCTGATCAAACCGACCGTTTGCATCCCTAGGGACCCCAGCCGGTTCACGCCAACATTAAAATTGTTTTATACAACAAATAAAAACTGTGATAAACTAAAGGTTGAACCATCCAAATGGTGAACCATTCATAGTTTAGTTGAACCACTTAGTTCATTTGATAGTCAAATTTTATGCTTAATATCACCATTTCTATTTTATCATATGATAGAAAATTAATCATAATGTAAATAATATAAAATCTTAATTTTCTAAACAACAATTTGGAAGTTCAAGTCCCTCTAGGTGACTATTTGGGGCAGTTGCATGTCACGGACTAACTTTCCTCGAGTTATCTGTGCGGCTTTAGCGCTCTCTTTTAGCACTAAATCAGTCTAATCTTCCTAACTAGCAACTCAAAGCACTCTCTTGAAAGTAGAATAGGAAGAAGAATTAGAGAATAAAATGCATCACTAATAAAGAGAGAGTACAAAGCTTGAAAGCTTGAAACCTTGGATGGATTGGGATGAGGGGAAGGGACTCTTATTTATAGCTTCCCTAGTGTCTTTGGCCTTACACCTAGCCAATGTGGGACTATTTTCCAAGGGAAGCTTTACAATATAATATTATAGATTCTAGATAGTTCTACAACATTCTTATGTGCATACATATTCTAGATTCTTCTAGGTTGTTCTGTAGGTCTCCATCTTCTAGAATAATCCATCATGTCATAGTATCGGTGGGGCGTGACACTCCTCCCCCCCGCCCATTTAAGCTCGCAATGCCCTTCTCCTCTTGATACTGTTTGATCTTCTCCTTGAATTGCCATAATGTGTCTTCATGCTCCCAACTGGCCGCGCTATCAAGCCATCCTTTCCACTTGATCAGAAACTCCTTGTAGTTTGGTACCCCTCACCGTCTGATCACCCTGTCAGCCATTATTTCTTGAATTTCTTTGTCGAAGGAGGAGATTACTGTTGTAGGCGCTCGGTTGAAGATCCCTCTTGATGGGTCTTCCATGTCTTCCTGGTAAGGCTTTAACATGCTTGCATGAAAGACATGATGTATCATTAGTTTTGGTGGCAAGTTGAGTTTATAAGAGACATTTCTCACTTGCTTTGTCACCTCAAAAGGGCCTTTGTATCTTCGAATCAAACTCTTATGTACCTTCCGAAATGTTTTAAATTGTTGTGGTAGAAGCTTCATAAGAACTAGATCTCCTTCTTTAAACTCAATATGCCTCCATTTTTTGTCTGCCCACTTCTTCATCTTCCTTACGACCTTGTGTAATGTTGCTCGAGCTATTTCCCTTTGCTCACTCCAAGATTTGGCAAACTTGAAGGCTGACGGACTTTTCCCTTCGTAGTTGGTTGTAAAAAAGAGGGGAGTCATCGGTTGTTGTCCCATGATTATCTCAAAGAGACTCTTATTAGTAGATTCATTTATTTGAAGGTTGAAAGAAAATTGAGCCACATCCGGCAACTTGGCCCAATTTTGTTGATTAGCACTCACATAGTGCCTAGTGCCGCAGATATAGTTCCAAGAGAGCATAGACCCTCTCAGTTTGTCCATCACTCTGAGGATGAAAACTTGTGGAAAAGTTTAGATCTGACCCCAATATTTTGAATAATTTGGTCCAAAATCTTCCGGTGAAGCGATGATCTCAATCGCTAATAATGCTTTGTGATATCCCCCATAGCTTTACCACGTTGCATAGAAAAAATCTTGCAGCTTCCTCAGCAGTAACATCGGTGGGTGCAGCAATGAATGTTGCATACTTGCTAAATCTATCCACCATAACTAAGATGCTTCCAAATCCACTTGATTCTGGCAAGCTAGAGATGAAGTCCATAGAGACGCTCTCCAATGGTCTTCGAGGAATAAGTAGCGGTTCTAACAACTCCCCTGGTTGTTGAAGGACAACTTTGTTTTGTTGGCATACAAGACAAGTGTGAGCATATTCTTCTATCTCATCCTTCATCCCTGGCCAATAGTAATTTGTTTTTAGAAGTGCAAGAGTTCGCTTCATACCTGGGTGTTCCGCCCATAAAGAGTCATGACATTCTTTGATAAGCTCCTTCCTTAAGTTGCCCCACCTTGGTATGTAGATGCGTCGTCCTTTAGTGTAAAGGATATCTTCATCCATCCAGAAGTTCCTGGTTTTTCCTTCCTTCACTAAGGCAATAATGCTTTGGGCTTGTGGATTGGAGACCAAACCTTCTTTTATTTTGTCCATGAGGGAGCTGGAGACTTATGACAGGCTTGCAAGTTCTGTTTTTCAGCTTAGCGCATCCGCAACTACATTGGCCTTCCCTGGCTTATACTCCAAGATGTAGTCAAATTCTGCCAGAAAATCCTGCCATCTTGCTTGCTTAGGACTTAGCTTCTTCTGAGTCTAGAAGTAGCTGGTGGCAATATTATCTGTCATGACTTGGAATTTGGAGCCGAGCAAGTAGTGTCTTCATACTATAAGACAATGTATGATGGTTGTCATCTCCTTTTCTTGGACTGTATAGCGACGCTCTGTCTCATTAAGTTTTTTGTTTTCATAGGCAATTGGGGTGCCTATCTTGCATGAGTACCCCTCCAATAGCAAAGTCTGAAGCATCGGTATGCACTTCATATACCTTTGTATGATCAGGAAGGCTGAGTACGGGTTCTTCACTGATTGCCTTTTTGAGGTCTTCAAAAGCTTCATGACACTCACTATTTTATTCTCACGACTTATTCTTCTTGAGTAAATCCGTCAACGGAATAGCTCTTGCAGAGTAGCCCTTTATGAATCGCCGATAGTAGTTAATAAGTCCCATGAAGGATCTTAGTTCAGGTACCTTGGTAGGATGTTCCCAATCTTGGATTGTTTTGACCTTGCTTTCTTCCATCATGAGCTTTCCCTCCTTTATCCTATGCCCCAAGAATGTCACTTCTTGATTGGCAAAGGAACATTTTTCTTTCTTGATGTATAAGCTTGTTTTCTCTAAGAACTTTAAATACGTCTCGGAGATGTTTTAGATGATCTTGGAGAGTGTTGCTACACACCACGATATCATCCAAGTAGACGACAACAAACTGGTCCAAGTATGGCTGGAATATTTTGTTCATCAAAGTGCAAAATGTAGCAAGAGCATTGGTTAGCCCGAAAGGCGTCACCAAAAATTTGAATGACCCATACCTGGTCACAGAAGTGGTCTTTGGTTCATCCCCTTCTGCTATCCTCACTTGGTAGTAGCCTGATCGGAGATCCAATTTTGAGAAGTACCTTGCATTCCCAAGTTGATCAAAAAGGTCGGCAATGAGAGGGATTGGATATTTGTTCTTCACGATAATCTTGTTCAAAGCCCGATAATCTATACACATGTGTAAGGAACCGTCCTTTTGAAATAGAACTGGAGCACCAAATGGGGCTTTAGATGGTCGGATAAATCCTGCCTCCAATAACTCTTTCAATTGATTGTGTAGTTCTGCCAATTCTGGAGATGTCATGCGGTAAGCTCCCATTGCTGGTGGCTTAGTCCCTGACTCCAGCTCAATTTGTTGATCGACCTCCCTTCTTAGCGGTAGTTCCTTCGGTAATTACTTCCACTACTTCCCTTAGCGTGGTTCCTTCAGGCTTCAATTCTTCGTCGGAGTCATGAAGGATAGCCAAGTAGCTCTCCTCCTCTCGTCGAATGCCCTTCTTGAATTGAATGGCTGATAGCATCTTGGTCTCCTGCTGCCTAGCTCTTGTTGTCGGTATTAGGCAAGCTTGGTCGCCTCCCATGATACACATGCTATTGGCAAATGGTATCGGGAACGCCCTTACTTGGTCCAAGAACTCTATACCAAGGATTACCTTGAAATCATCCATGGGAATGATGGAGAAATTTAGCAAACCTGACCAATCCCCTACACAGGTCTTCACTCCTTTAGCCACTCCATGGATCGACCTAGCTGCAGTGTTAACCGCCTTGATGGAGAGCACCCACCTCCAGTAATTTGCAAACCCATCTTCATTGCTTCTTCAATAGAGATGAAGTTTTGAGAAGCTCTCATATCATCATTGCATTAGTAGATGTGTTCCTTATAATCACCTCTACAAAGAGAAGTCCTTTTACCAGATTTTTTTGAGAGGAGCGTACCGCATTGAGTAGTTGCATAGTTCCCACCTGAGCGTCTATGTCATTTTCCTCTACCTCTTGATAACTTGCAAGAAGAGAGTTCAAAGCTTTCTTCTGTGGACAATCCCTTACCCAATGTGGTCCTCCACAAAGGAAGCAACTGTTGTATGGTTTAGTCTTGTTGTTGTTAAACTTTCCCTTGTCTCTTGCTTTGAACGAGGTCGATTCGCGAAGATTCTCTTCCTTGTGTTGCTCCCAGTTTCCCCCACTTCTGACATAGTTGCTCTTCTTTTCGTTTGGCTTTGTAGACTCCTTTGTATAGTCCACCAAGCTTTCTGCAATGGCGATGGCGAAAGCGAGATCTTGAGCACCACGCCTCCTAAGCTCCGTCTTTGCCCATTGTTGGAGCATGTCAATTAAGTTGAATAGAGCATCCTTGTCTAACAAATCAGGGATTTGAAGGACCAGACTAGTAAACTCCTTGATATATTCTCGGATCGATCCTATTTGCTTGAGTCTTCGCAATTGGGCTCTAGCCTCATCTTCCGCATTTTCAGGGTAGAACTGCCTCTTTAGCTTTTTCTTAAAGTCATCAAAAGTGGAGATGGTACGCATACCTTTTTCGACGTCTCCTTGCCTTCTTCTCCACCATAGCATAGCAATATCTGAAAGGCAAAGAGTAGCAAATTAAATTCTTGCCTCTTCATCCGTGATCCCCATTGCTCCGAAGTATTGCCGAAGTATTTTGCTCCAGTCTCCATAAGAAGTTATCCACTTCTTTTGCATCACGAGTTCCTCCAAAACTCTTTAGTTTTGGCACCTCAATCCTCTTGGATTTGAAGGTTTGATGGTTGGTGGGTGTCGCTAGTACCCTCTTGCACAACGAAATATCCCCACACATCTCCTCCAAGCTAGCACGCATGTCACTCATCTCTTCCTTATAGGCACTTCGCACCTCTTGGAGCTTCCCCATAAAATCCTCCTGCAACTTACCCACTTGGCCCATTAAGGTCTACTTAAGTTGAAGCATCATACCTCTGATTGACCTCTGATTGTTGAATGGAGAATGGATGGTGACGTCCTCCTCCTCGAGTCCATCAACCCTTTGACCAAGATCATCTACTTGGCCTCCATGCCATTCATTGCCTCCTCCATCCGAGCAAGGCACGAATCAAAGCTATGCATGATCTCCTTAAACCTCCCATGTGGCTTGGGTACAACGGGGCCCTTTGCTCCTGGCGACCTCGCCCTTGAGATGACTCCACATTAATGGCTTCCGACTTCATCACATGCTCCTTGACGTTTTTCGTCATTCTTTGAACCAAGACTCTGATATCAACTGTCACGGACTAACTTTCCTCGAGTTATCCATGTGGCTATAGCGCTCTCTTTTAGCACTAAACCAGCCTAACATTCCTAACTAGCAACTCAAAGCACTCACTTGAAAGTAGAATAGGAAGAAGAATTAGAGAAGAAAATGATTCACTAATAAAGAGAAATTACAAAGCTTGAAAGCTTGAAACCTTGGATCGATTGGGATGAGGGGAAGGGACTCTTATTTAAAGCTTCCCCCATGTCTTTGGCCTTACACCTAGCCAATGTGGGACAATTTTCCAATTGAAGCTTTACAATATAATATTCTAGCTTCTAGATAGTTCTACATCATTCTTATGTGCATACATATTCTAGATTCTTCCAGGTTGCTTTGTAGGCCTCCATCTTCTAGAATAATCCATCATATCATAGTATCTGTGGGGCGTGACATGCAACTTATTAATAGGTTGTTGAAAAATAATCTACAGTTCAAAAAGCTATGGTGGCTATTACAATTTTTTTTTTTTGAAAAAGCCACACCACGGCTAGAGAGCTGCCACCATACTTATGGCTAATAACGATATGAAAACATTGATTTCAACAGTTTGAAAATGCAACTTTTTGAATAAGCTATCAAAACACAGTTTAACCAAACGGTCCTGAGTGAGTTTTCAAAACGCACAACACCAAATAAGTTGCTGCAAACGGGGCCTAAGTCGTATTTCTTGGAAAGGAAAAAAATTGTTTGAATAAATTACCTAAATCTTAATTATGATAAGAAATAAAATGTCAATCATCCAAATAAAGTAATTGTTTGAATTTAAAATTATGAGATATTCATACTCTATATTTTATGAAATAGTTCTTTTTTTTATATATGTTTGCATCATTATTACATCATCAAAGTACTAATAAAATAATTTTCATATTTAATACACACATTCTCACAATTCAACTGCTGCTTAAATTAAATTAAACCATTGAAACTTGAAACTTGAACCTTACCTTCTTTTAGTATAACATCCAATCCAATTTTCAAAACTATGTTTAAGAGCCAACTAAAATACAAAATTCAAATGGTATATGAAAAGTTAGCAGAGAATCCAAATATATACCAAATTACTAGATGACACAAGGTATACTACGTGTGGTTGAGAAATTGAACAAGGATATAAATAATAATCATAGTACTTCGAACTTGTTTATCAAAATTCACAGAACAATGTAGACATAATAACTAGAATTAGAAAGAATTAGCTATGCATTTCATTTCAATATGTGTGTAAATTCATATAATCCTAATAGAGCTTCTGATAGAAAGCATACAAAACTGAGGAATAAAATTTACAAAAATAATTACAATAGTCAGCAGATTGATGAGTAGGCAGTAAGAATTCCACGGATGAATGAGGTGACAGCAAAAGAGGAAGAAAAGAAAAAAAATGGTTGTTTGCTAGTAAAATAGATGCACGGAATACACTATATCTGCTTTACATTACATTTTAAAAAATGCACGATTTTGAAATTCATACAACCAAATAATCACTTAGCCAAAGCCAAAGTTAGTGACTGCATCAGTTCATCTATAACTGTAGCCCAAAAAAATTCATCAAATGTCCAACCATTACTCGCTGAGCCATGACACCAATACTAAAGCTTTCAAATCTCAATTGTATTATAACTTCATTTTAATAAGATCCTGAAGAACAATTTTTTTCTAAGATTATCAAGATTTAGGCAAAATTTCAAACGTACGATGGCATTAAGCCATGCACCTTATCAACAGCAAAAACTATCTTGTGCTTGCTACTAAGATCAGACCTTTATATCTGAGCTTGTATGTGCCAGAGTGGCATCTGTACCAAAACTTCAGCCAGAGATCGAACCTAAAGCTATACCTTAATCAAAATTTAAACGTACAAGTAAAATTTAGAAGAGCCTTTTGTCAGTGCTTCACCTGTTGCTCAAAACTTGAGCAGCTCCTATTAATTAAAACAGCCTAAATGCTATCAAAGTTTCTCGAAATGTCACCACGTTGTGAGAAAAAAAAATTTCTGAGTTCTCCATTTTCAATTTCTGGCTTCAATACATGATCATTATGTATCATAAGAAGTGAAACTGCAATGGAAAAATGTCCTTATCTATTACAACTAAAACCTGACCACATTCATTTTTTCAAGTAATTTAATTTGCTAACAGATTATTGGTTCTTACTGAGGTCCACTGATCCTAGAGAATGCATGAATATTGTTAACTGCCTGCCTCACCTTTCAGATATAATTTCGTCCACCACACCAGCTATTCAGTTGCTTTTTCATTCTTTATGCATCATTAAATATAACAAAAATCTGAATAGAAACATTTAGATCGTGTTTTATTGTTTTTTCCCTCATATTTATGATGCTTAGGCAAGTATTTCTGTTATCCATAAGAAATTGTGGTTCATCTATTCTACTTATACAAGCTTATACTCTAGAATCGTTCAGAATTGAACAATGAAATTTTTCACATGCTCTAGAATTATTTCTGCCAAGTATGAGAACAATTCCCTTGGCTCTTCCTTCAATTTTTTTCCCGCTCAATCCTGACAGGCAGCATAAAAAAAGCCTACTAAAAGGTGACATTCAGTCCAAATCTGTCTACCATATTGAAGGACGCCACCTCATCAGAGATCTCTTTCCTTTCCTATTAGTGTCCACAAGCGTAGTGGTAAAAGCTTCATTCAATGGCCTCGATTAGTGATGATGTTTGTTTGTCGAAAAGGTAAAGAAGATTATCTTATATAGAATTTCTCACGAACCAAATGATAAAACAAGTTTCAAACATAAAAGGCAAAATATAATATGGTGATGTTACAGCTCATAAATTTCATGACAAATAAAATTGGAGAAAATTTCATGCACTAAAAAACCGCCAAAAAAATTGGGATGCCAAAAAGAGGCCCTCCAATGTTGACATACCATCAGCCATATTTGAGCTCAAAAGCAATCTTTGTGACCTACTGACACGGTTTTAGAGTTCCTAGATGGTATTTAAGGATCATATTAAAGTCATTTCAATAGGGAGAGGTTGTGAAATAGCAGTAGAAAGAATATGTGAGGTCCACAGAGTTTGTAAGGGAATAGAAGTTCAGCGGCTGTCCAGCCTAAAAACAGCAAGGAGAACAAAAGAAATGATGGTTTCGGCGAGGCACGGTTGTCGATAAAGATCCACCGCCTATTCATAAACAAGCTACAGACGCACCACTTGCAAAAGAAAGAGGATACAACTCTCCTTCAAGCAGAAAAATCAAAGAACACAATCTCATAAGCCAAAGCCTAAGCCTAAAAATCAGAAAATAACTTATGTATGGTTCCCACAGCAAAATTAACACTAATATTCATTAAAATTAATGAAAAATAGGGCCCACAAGGCTTGTCGATGCCCGATCCAGTTTAATCTTGCTTATTTTCCTTTGTTTGGGTGTCCTCTATCCGTCTCTTCATCAATCCCTCCCTCGATGTCTTGGCTGGCATCCTAAGAGATCTATAAGCTTTGTACTGCTGTTGCGTCCTATCAATGTGCATGCATAATTTCCTAAGTGATGCATTCTCCAGATCATGACCTTTAAAAAGTAGGTCCCTAATGATGTTTTTCAAGATTTCACACGACTCGCTAATAAAATTCTTGGTAAATCATAAAGTTTCTATGCATCACAACATGAAGAATACAGCATTTAGTGCTACAAAAAATTAGGAACATCAGAAATCATACTCTACTTTACAAATAAAAAGACCTGACTTTGCGATGCAAGAAATTTAAAAACTGAATGTTATTTAAATGGTGTAGCAGCCAAACCATCAACAAATGCCTTCCCAGGTTTCTTTTCTCGGGAATGAAAAATCCAATTACTAGGATACTGACTACTATCTGCTCCAACTTCAAGCGCTTTTTCAATTACCTGTAAAATAAATTTTCTTAAAGGTTAAAAGACTAGGTAGCTTTGTTGGCTCACCATTTACTGTTCCGGGTTTGTTTCCCCACCGATAATGAAACAACCATCCAATAGGAAACGAACTGCAGTCTGCATCAACTTCAACAGCATACTGAATAACCTACATTTATTGCCCTTAATACTACCTTAACTGACAATGAATAACGTAGCACGCCTTAAAGCAAAGAGAATCAGTTTTAATTTGAAGACAGAAAAACAGCATCTACCTTTGTCATGCATCGATGCAAGGCCTCACAATCTCCCTTTGACAAGTTTGAAGCAATTTGCTGGGGATGGATTCTTGCCTTAAATTTAAAAACATAAAATGTTATTATAACTTCTACATAAGTACAGCAGTTGTAAGGAATACGTGAAAAAAATTATATTGCACATGAATCAGATCGTCATCAACCACAAAAAAATACAAAGAGAACAAAAAACATAGAATAACATACTACAATTGGTTCAAGACTTGGCTAAAGAGTATATCAGGCTATAAACAAAGCAAAGTAAGGTCAAGACTAGAGTATAGCCCATGAAAGGCTAGATTTGACAATAAGTTTCCCAACAGAGTAAGTTGCTCATGCTAACAAAAATCTAGTAAAAATTTGTGTTTGATAAGAACAGAAACCTTGTTTAGAATCATACAAATATTTATTATTTTGCTTCCTTGAGAGACTGTCATCTGCTGCTTTTGTCTCCATGCACCTTTAATTTCATCACCGAAGGTGTTGCTCTAGTATAAATTATGGAAATAAAGAGCCAGTTCTGAAAACCTCCTACTAAGGCACTGCCACTTCACGTTTATGCTCACTCCATTTTTTCTCTTTTGTCTGGCTCAGTGCCCTAGCAGCTAGTCCCAATGCTAGGATAGCTTGCCACGTTTGGGTGTCACTATGCCCTTGCGAGCACTCCCACATTCTCATAGGTGCTCGCATGTACTATTCTTGATGACTTGTTGCCACTACTACATGCCACAAGCTTGCATGTTATGCTCTTGTGAGTGTTCCCACCCGCATGATGAATCCTGATGAGATAACTAGGGCTACAATCAAGTGTTCCTCCCTCACTGATGGCTGTTCTCCACTCCGAGCGAATTTCTTTCTCTAAAAAAAGTTCACTCGTTTCATCATTGTTACTGGGCTACACTTGTTGGCTCTCCCTCCCCTTGATCCCAACTTCATCATAATCACCTCTCTTCATGAATGCTCCAAAAGTTACAATGTGTCACGACCTCAAACGAAAGCTTGGAATATCTAAGGCAGGAATGGACGGTAAGACAGTAGAGATAAATAATTTTAACATATATAAAAATTCACAATAACATCCATACAATAGTCACTAAATCACAGGAGTTCATATACAACATAAATATATCTAGTTTGTATAATACTAGTAAAAAAAAAGAAACTAAACATAGAAATAATATTTTCTGATACATATTTTCATTTGCTTCACTTCTATAAGCAATTTCTTGTTTGTCTATTTAATTCAACTAGTCATTTCTGAAATAAGCATTTAAAGAACAAATTATATAGCAAGTTCATGAAAAAGTACAATTCTACTATATACAAAATTTTTATGCAAAGGCTCTAGCATAATTGCTAAAAAAAATAATGAATAAACAATATTGTTTCATTCTGTTAAAGCTTTTAAACATCTGTATTTTTCCTTAATGAGAATCTTCTAAGCATTTTTAATTTCATTTCATATACAAAGTCATCTCAAAAGCACAGTCTAAAATTTTGTAGCAATTAAGGTACAATATTTTTCATTTGTTTTCACAGGTTTTCTTCATTTTTATTTTTCGTTCATGGGTACAATAACATCCTTGGCTAGTACCGTGAGGGAATGACTCCTGTGATTGACATATACATTTATATCTTTCGATTTTCATTTGATTTCCTTCAACTAATTAAATTACACATAAATCTTTTCAATGTAAATACAATGTATAGACATTATTAAAAACATGTTACACTATTTATATGATTATATTGAATTTGAACATTCAATTTTCTTTTAATGTCTGCAATGATTTCAACAATTTAAAATATGAGTCAAATTAATTTAAGAGATTTTGTTATAGGCAAGAAAATTGTATTTAGTACAAACAAAAATGTAATTACTCAACTGGATCTTTAATTGATTTATTAAGTCGCTTGATCTTCAGTCTCCACTTCATTTAGCGTAGTATCTACTCATATAAATCATTTCTTTAATAACCTCTTTAAACTTATTACAGTTGAAACTTAATATCTATAAATTAATTATATACTTTACTGACATAATATTCATTTTAATCTCAGTAAATCATAATAGATATGATTAAGTTACATATCTCACGTACGTTGTTCCTTTTTTAAATTCACTGGCACTACATTCTATTGATCAATTCTCCAATCACCACTATAAATCTATTATTCTTCTCCAAATACGATTCTAAAATACATATTTTTTAAGTCAGGGTACTTATAAAAAATAAAATAAAATAAACTTATAAATTAAATGAATAACCTCAATTGCTCTCTTTATTCTTCTTACAAACTCAGCAATCTTGCTCCTTTTAATCTTTCACTTCATATAACTTGCAACTTATGAATTCTATCAGTATTCAATACAGATCTATTATTAACATTTTATCAAGTTTAAATCCAAATAACTATTTATTAATTTAAATAATCCTTAACCAAATTTAGGTTGTGCAGTTTTGGAGCCCGTCACTGCCTTCTCCATCTCACGCACCCAAAGTCTCTTCTCACCCACTCAGCTTCAATTCCTACACAATACAATGTTTCTCCTGCAAACACAGTGCTTGTTGCAATTCATGCACACAATTTCATGTTCCATAATAAGCGTCATCGCCATTCTAGTTCTTTGTCACTCACATGAAAACACCAGCAAACGCTTTCTCGTTCTCACATGCAGGAATCAGATCAATCGCACAGAACCCTTGCCACTATTCTTATTCCAATCTAAGCATTCATTTTTTGTTACAATTGCTCAAAATGTTTTAAGGTTCATTAGTATAAGGTGAAGTCAAACAGTTAGGCACAAAATAAACATTCAAATGTGTAAACCCTTCATACTCCCGTAATAGTTATTGCTCCTCAATTTGAGCTTAGATTTGCACTTAGAATTTGAAACTATTGTGCCAGCCCTACTAGCTATACAAGAATTTGGTCTCCATATCTTCTACAAGCAAGACAATTTGTTTTGTCGATTATAGTTCTCCCTCCTATTATTCAAGACAAATATTCAAGATGCGCAAACTATGAGTAATGGCAATCTTGTGGATCGAAAATTTTAAATCCTAATTAACAGATAAAGCCATAATCAATATATTCAATCTCTTATTTTCACTAGGCTTCCAACAAGAGCATTCAAATGTGTATTTCTCTCCTTCGATTTTTTTAATTGTTAGATGATTCATTATTTGGGCTCATGCTATATGTATTTAAATTTCTTATATTTTTCTTTGTATTCTAACAAATCTTGATAATTGTCTTCATTGTACTCATATTATAAAAAAATCAACTTTATCAATTTCACCTCTATTATCCATCAATGTTCCGCCAAGTCCAAGACTTCTATATCTCATTCACTTCATACCGCCTCATTTATTTATAGGATTAGTATTGTCACCTCATAAATCCATAAGTTCTTATAACAATGTTGTAATTATTATTCTACCTACTCAACAATATGTATATTATTATAAGTACACTTCTTTGAATTAATAAGTTTCTTATTAAAAACTATCTTATGATTATATTAATACTAGACAAATTAAAGAATGAAATACAAAAATAATTTGCTTGTCAAGTATCAAAGCCTTCGGCTTTTCTTTTAGCATTTTTTATAAGTTGCAGCCTTCATCACTGCATTGCCTAAAACCTTGCAAGCCTTTATTGCTAAAAGAGTCTTCTCATTCCATCTAGTCTTCTCATCTGTAGCCTTTTCTTTAACCTTTTTTCTCGTTGAAAACAACTACTACCACCTTTTCCTTACCATTGATCACAAAAATACCAATGTTCCCTTGATCTAAGTTCAGTTAGAACTGTGACTTGCAAATCCAAAGCAAGAATAAATATTCATTCAACCAATAGTTTGAATAAAAAAAATTATTTCAAGTGATCAACAACTGGTTAGCACCTTCTTGAAGAAAAGGAAAAAAAATAGGCAATCTACTTGCCACGGAACCTCAACAATGTGATCTCATATTAATACTTGAGATGAACAGGACTTTTTGGTGATGTCCTAGTTATGGAAATTTATGATTCCTTAAATAAGAGACACAAGCAAATATCTTATATTTTTATTCAAAAAGGAAAACTCAGGATACAGTAAATCAAAAATATTCTAAAGTTCATGATATGGCCTATGAGATCAAAACTATCTCGACTACAAAGAAATGAGGAAGATCCAGCACAAATACTAAATTATATATATATATATATATATA